CTGCCGGAGGGCAGGGTCCGGCACCACCGGCGGCAGTCGCCGGAGCCGGGCAGGAGCTCCCCCGAGAGGAAGAGCCCCAGCTCCCCCGTTTGCAAAGGTGAGCGCCGGGGTCTCCGGGGCGGCGGCGAGGCACGTCCCGGGCGGCCGGGCCGGGTGCGGGGAGCGGGGCTGAGGCCGGCGGTGGCTCCGGGCGCGCCGTGCCCCGGGGCAGAGGCAGGGACGGGGCTGTGCCCGGGCTGGTGCCCGTCCTGCCCCTTCCCTGGCCGGCGGCAGCGCTTGCGGCCGTGTGTGTGCGTGGAAGGGCTCGTTGCTTTTGTTGCCGCTCTGTTCCGTCCTGGCTCTCGGAAGAGGGACGGAGAGCCAAGCGTGCCATGTGGGGGGTTGTGGCCGCTCCTCTTAAAGTAGTGCGAGTGCTGCCGCAGGTTTGCAGATGAGAGGGGTTCGATGGTGTGGATGTGCTTCAGATACTTGGGCACAAGCTTAAGGTGCATTTGGTTTTTGGTAGCTCTTGTGAAGCCTTCGCGTCTCCCCTCTCTGTGCACCTCGTGCCAGATGGTGTGGGTGGTTTTGATCCAAACAGTGTTCGCAAGCTTGCGATTAGAGAACTGACTGGTGCTGTAGGCATGGCAGAGACGTAGGAAAAAAGTATTCAGCATCTCTCTTAGTAGTTACTTTCAGCATGAACCCTGCAGAAGGATGTGTGAGCTTGAGAGCGATGACAAGCTTGTGCTATAGCGAAGATAGAAAATACCGTGGGGATGGCATACATTTTGTAGCAAACTGCTTTTTAATGGTTTTGAATAATTAAATAATTCTTACTGGAAATGCTGGAATTCAAGCAATACGTGGCAGCTAGTTGAGGATAACAGAGGCTGACATATGTAAGCCCGTTTTCTTCTTGGGATAAAAGTTTACTCAAAAATGCATGAGTGAGGCTTTGTGTTCATGCCTTCAAATCTCAAAAAAAACCTGTTACTTTTGAGATACCAAAGCTCACAGCTACTCTTTTATCATTAAATTGCCTGTACTAATCTACACAAGTTTAGTAATACGCAGTATACGCAGAAATTTAGGACCAACCTTCCTCCCTTCAACAATCCTACTTCTCTTAATATTCCTCCCCCTTTCTAAAATACTAACTGTAACCAGACTACCGCATTGGGCTTTTTCTTTTCTCCTATCCTGGCTCTTGGGCAATGATGCTGCCCAATTAGAAGTCATAACCAGCTGGTAGAAGATGACTATGTGCCTGCTTGGCTGTAGTGTAAGAGAGCCCTAATAAGGTCCTGAATTAGATTTTCCACTTTCCAGATAAGAGTAATGAGGGTTTTATTAAGGTGTGTGTATTCTTCATTTGAGATTCTTGTTAATTGGTAGTCTGAAAGACTTTATACACATCACAAAATCCTGTCTTCATCCTGTGAACTTTATACAACTCTTGCCTTAGGTGCAGTCTCCTGGCCTGGAGAAACGAGGAACAGGATGGCTAGCCTTGAGATCCAGGTTCAAATACTCTTAACAAAGGCATGCATCAGACCACTTATAGTGGAAAAGTTTTACTTTTGGCCATTTTGTAGAAGCCTGCTGAAACCATGTTGGCTTCTTTACTGCAAATTAATTAGCACATAGAAGGAAACAAGTAATTTGATCACTCTACCATGTTGAGATAACTCCACTACCTTGTTACAAGACTTGTGAAAACAGGAGAGTGGTGTCCATTTAATTGCTTCCACGTGTTTAAATTTCTGAGCAGTACTTGTATGGGCCCCAAATGCAAATTAAAACTGTTTAATATTGCTCACCGTTTGTCTTGTGTAGTCCAGTGCTTGATAGAGACCGAGTTAACTTAAATTTCTTCTTCGCGTGAATTGGAAGGCTTAGCTGTACCTGAGAACATGGAAGTGGAACTCTTTTTGCTAAGGAGGCAATGGTTGTGCAGCCACATGGGCCACTGGAGGGAATCAGTCAGAATCTGCTGCAGAATAACCTGGGGTTTTCTGTTTCTTGCTTTCCGTTGATGGTGGCTTTTGTTGATTCCTACAGCTGCAGCCATGTTTTTTTAGATTAAAATGAACCTTGAGGTCAGACAAATGATAGCTTCTTCTGAACTTAGATACTGGTTGTATCTAAATACAAGTTGTATGCTTTAGACTTGATGTTTTACAGATTTTCTTTTCTGGGAAGCAGTTGAATAGTTTTGAATGTAGTTTTCATGAACGCTTGAGGACCCCAACTTGTGAATTTGCAAATGTTACTACTTTTGCTTCTTTTGTGGTTTTGGGTGTGGGTTTTGTTGGTTTGGGGTTTTTTGTCCTAGTTTTCTGACCTGAATTGCAACTTAATTTCAGAAATGCTTAACTGAATTTTCTGTTGATTATGGGATAATTACAAATAGAAGATTCTGTTGTACAATTTCTAATTTTCCATGCTTTTCTTGCCACTTTCCTTCCTCACAAATATGACCGGGATCCTAGATCTTGCTACTACCCCATTTTTGTCTTTTACTTTCACTTTCTACAGTCTCTAGTACTTAGTTCAAGGACTTCAGCTTTTAATTGCACGTTAATGTGCTCTGTCCTTCCCATCACTGGTGTGGCCTCATTTTCTACACTGTGATGTCTGTCCTGCAATCTCCAGTTTTGGTTCAGTTTTCACATATGCCTCTTTACCTCTCTGCAAACCATGCTGTTAGAGGTTGTTGTTGTGACCTACTAGTACACTGTTGCAAAGTGAGATAGCGAAATGTGTATGCTCCCTATTTATTGTTGGTTTTGTCTTGGTTTATTTACTGAATGAAGATCTAATGGCATCTTATTATTTGTGTTCTTATGTGAAGCACATCATCTCAGAGGAGTTCAACTGCTCAACTGAGAAAATGGTTTAATGTACCAGGCTGTGTAAACAAGAAGGTCAAGACTGGAGCCATAGCAATTGTTTACTTTTAAGTGCCTTGAAGTAGTGAGAGATTTCTCTACTGGATGCTGAACTTTCTGGTATATTCTAGTGGACTGTATTGGACATTTAAACTCATTCTAAAATTGACCTCTAATTGTTTAGAGTAGTCTGTCGAAGCATGATGTTAAAGCATTCTTGTGTGAAAGGAAATTATGAAAATAGTTATAATAGTATATAAAGTCTGAAATAGGTCAGATGTGAACTCCTTGGTAGAGAGGAAGAAAAGGAACTCCATTACACTCTTAAATTTCACCATAGAATTTATTTATTCTAATAATTTGAGTGACACATTAATAACTGCATACCTGTCAACCTTAATTACCAAGGTTTTGCAGCAGTTCTGAAAGTTCTGTAGGATAAGAGTATAGAAGGCTTTGTGTGCCATTACATGCCTGCTTTGCTTACTTAAGCTGTTTTACAAATGCTAGGTGTAAAGAAAGTGAATTCATTTTTGCAGCATCATACTTGTAGGTTTCTTGTGGCCAACACTTCAGGTGACTTTATTGAGATTAAATGTGTTTTCATTCACTAGAGTTAAGTAACTTGAACATCTTGGGCTTTCTGAGGTTTGATTTTGTAAAACACCATTAATTCAGCCATTCTTCTACAACGGGACAATTTTGAATTACTAGTGAATAGTTCTCTTACATTTATGTGAGGATAATAGCCAGGATTGTCTTCCAAAAGGAGTATACACAGTTGGGCTGTGTATCTGGTTTTAATGCTCTGAGTCTGTTAAGTTCTTTTAATGAAATGTGAAAAGTAGGTGAAGCCCCAGAGATCAGTTGTCTTTGTGGAAGAGACAGCTCTGCCAGCTGTGCCTGAGAGAGATCCCATGAATGTCCTTTCCAGGGAAAACCCTGACCAAAAGAGAACAAAAAGGTCAGCTGTATGCTGTGATGCCAGAGAAGCTAGATGAGTCTCACTCCTCCTCATTTCTTTGGATAGCCCACTTGTGTAAAAAAAACCTTCAAGTGGAACTCTGTCTGGGAATTCTGTGAGTTCAGTGCTGTCTTATGCTTTTCCAGTGTCCCTTTTCTGCTGCTTGTTTTCTCACAGTATCTGTTGGACGATGTTTCTTTGGAGTTTTTATTTTCCTTTCTCAAAAATTTAATTTCAAATGCGTAGAAGGAGGTCAACAGGATGGCAAGATCAATCTTGAAGTTACACTTCAGCAGTAATCATTATTTTGTCATTCTAACAACAGTTCTGAACTTTTCCTGGAAAAATGAAAGGTGAATTTTCAGAGCGTTTTATCTCTTCGAACTTGCTTATGTTTAAGACCTTTCTCTTTTTTCCCTTCCTTTCTTTTATATATAGTAATTTTCCTCTGTGAAATAACTGGTTTAAAGGTCCGTGTTCTTACACTGTAATTTCCTTTATCAGTTGTAACTGGACTTGTATGCTGACACCTTGCCAAAATCAGCGCACTCTTTCCTACCTTTCAGTTAGTTGCTGGTAGGCATCTATATTGGTTAATTTTGCTCTTTAGTCACACTGTTAGACTGCCTCAGCTGACATTGCCTTCTGAGTTGCCTGACTTCACACTGGGATAGATGTAATACCAGTTCACCTGTAGCAGCTGCAGTTGGTCAGGGGTACATAATGCCTGGTGAAGACATGGTGACTTGCTTGTTATCTGCCTGCATTATGGACTTCATTGGTCTGTACTGTGTGTGTTCTGCTTATGTTTTGTTCTATTACTTTGCTTTGTTTGAGACCAAATTGCAAAAATACTTTTGTTTCTAAATAGATTTATACTAGTGGTTGTTGGATAGGAGGGTTGATATTTATCACAAATACTGGTTTAAAGAGATAATCAGGCCAATTAAAACAGATCTAATATTTAAGAAGCGTCTATTTGATGAAACAGCTCCATTGTTTTTCATCAGCCACAGCTGTTGTAACTGTTATCTCTATGGAGGCAGATCTCTTGTTATGTAGGTCACATCAAGGGAAAATAGCAGCTGAACACTTGCTTCAAGTATTGCAGGGGAAAGTGCAATGAAAACATTGTATATGTTCCCATTGAAATGTTTTGAAACAGCAAGGAGAAATGTGTAGTAGACTTTGCCAATTTGTATTTAAACAGGTTATGAAGGTGGAAAAGTAAGTAAAAACATATCCAAACATCCTTCCCCATCTAAATATAAGTAATTTGAAAAACAGAGTTCCTCAAAAGAATTTTTATTTCAGAGGAAAAGAGAGTACTTATAGGCTTTGTGCCTTGAAACAAGTCCCTTGGACTTAAATAGTAAACAGGCTCCTCAGTTTTCATTCTCTCTGTTTGTTCAGCAAAACAGTCTTTCTGCTTTTTCTCTTTTTGTGGTGGAGAGGGTAATAGATTCTGCTCCTCCAGTTCTGAAGCTGTCTGCTGCAGTAGCTTTGCAGATGATGTGACTGACTACATACACTTCCTGATTTGTAATTTTTTTTTCACATCCTTTGTTTCCTCTTAGTAAAAAGAGAGAAGCTTCTTGAAGAGGAAGAATAACTCAGAAGAAAAACAGGGAGAGTGCAGCAGCTAATTCTAAGACAAATAACGTGTTTGATATAACTTTGGAAGTGAGTGTAATTTTTAAGGAATGACACGTTGCATTAGCATGCCACACTGTCCCACAGTACAGACAAAAGGAATTGGTTTGAAATCTTCTGCTACAAACAGACCCTTCAGTGTGAGTGTGGTGGTAGTGGTAGTCAAGGAAATTCTTTGATACAGGGGTCTTAAGTGCAAACTCCAAAGCAGATTTGGTGCTGTACCCTGAGAGCAAATCTGCTGTGAGCTCAGTAGTAAGGTTTTATCATTGTTGGTACTAGTAGAAATAATAAACCAGATGAGGTTTCCTGACTCCTTTGTGTGAATGTAGCTGATTATAGTGCTAATAATTTTTTCCTTGTAGTTGAATTGACACATTTCCCACATTTTTAATATGTGCATTTCTAATGTGAAATTTGCATGAGGATATTTATTGTAGAATGTCACTAGATGTAGATGCTGTCCACAGCACTGGAATCTATACCTACCCAGGTTTTAATAATATTTATCATATGTATTTTTAGTAGTTTGCAACAGCTTAGAATTTGAATTCTGGACTTCTGATGTCAGTGATTTTATTTTCTGACTAGCAGTCAGACACTAATCAGGAACAATTTCTTTTGCCCATAAATGAGTTTGTGCATGATACAAATTGCTATGTTATTGATACTTTTAGTGCAGAATTCATCCTAAGGCACAGTCAGGGAGGACATATGACTGAGTTTTTCCAGTGCCCTTTTAAAGCTTCCATCTGGTCTCTGAATCATGCTTGCTGTGTTCTAACCATGTATTTTAGGCCTCTGTATTCATTATAGGTAAGATTAATGCACAGTTCTTTCAAGTATAATTCTGTGGGGAGCAGATGAGTTGATAGTAAGCTTAGATCATTGTGATCTCAGTATTTGCATTTTACATTTCCAAATATGAGAGCATTTATGTATCTCTAAACCCTGGGTCTTTCCTGCTGCTCAATCTCTTAAATTTAACAACCTCAATTACTGTTTTGAGGAACCTTTCTTCAGTGTTTATTCTTAATAGCTTGCAGTGTAGTCTTTTACTGCCACTTTACTTAAGATATCATTGACAGATGGGATAGATACAAATTTTTATTTGTATTCTTCCTTCTCATGCTAATTTCTGTGTTTGTTATATTTAACCTTTTTTAGTAAGGATTCTTACTAGCATCTAACTTGTTCTGAAAAGGGATACCAATGTAGACACTAAAAATGAGGTGTTGCTGAAGATATAGCATCAGGCAAATCTGAATGCAGTTACCAAAAAGGCTGTAAAGGGAGAAGATGACTCGATTAGCTTGTAAAAAAGTAAATCATTACCTTATTGAAGTTGACTTCTGGATCTAAGGGTTGAACCATGTATCATATGCCATATATCATGTACTGAGTGATTAATAAAACATGCCAGTTTATAGTGTTGCTTGAAGTAAAGTAGGCAAAGGGTAAAGGGCTAGTGGGGTGAACTCTAAACTCAACATTAAATTGAGAATGTTCAACAGTTTTTTTTCATTAACCTTTATGTATGAGGAAACTTAGCTATTTTTATTTCTTCTAGACCTTCATCTTTTAAGAATCCAATGACAGTTTTACCTTTAAGGGAGTGAATGGTTGTGTTTGAGTACTAAGGCAACATTTGTGGCATTAGGATGTTTTTAAGGAAACTGCACGAACAGATTTCATAGCCTTTTTAAACTGAACAGAGCCTGGCAAAGCAAACTTTATTTCCATCTTAGAAGTATCTTATTGTATACTTAATAACATCATGGTTCCAATTTGATGTGATTTCTTGTAGACTATTAAAATGAGTAAACTCTCTGTCTTGCTTTCTTTGTAATCAAGTGTTCTTGTTCTAGCAGACAAATCAAGACCACCTTCATCAAGCCCTTCCAGTATTGTTCGCCGGACTTCCTCGCTGGACACACTTGCTGCTCCGTACCTTGCTGGACAGTGGCCTCGTGATAATCATGGACAAGCTGCTCCATGTATGAGAGACAAAGCCACACAGGTAGGACAGATTTTTGTCTTTGGAGAATTTAAATGTGAAGATGGGATTTAAATGTAAGAAAATTGTTTTCCCTTGAAAACATTCACTTTAGTTTTCTTGCTCACAAGTTCTTATTTGCCTTCAAATTGCAGGAATCCTTTGCTACTGTGTATGTGACTTATTTAACTTCTCCTTCTGTGGGTGCAGTCTGGCAGTAGGTTTCTCTAACTTGTAGAGTGAAAGAAAGAGTCAAACATATCAGATTCTAAATCCCTGTTGCTAGAATGTGGTTTCAACAACAGGTCTCCACTAATTCCAAAGAACATAAGCAAAATGCAGTTGGAAGAGGACCTGACAGCATGTGGGACATACTTGTGTTTGAAGCCCTACTAGTTTTGGTAACAGTAACAAATATGTGGCCTCATAGGTTTCAGTGTTCTGTCTAAGGACACACATAGGGTGTAGAGCAGAGGAGGTCTGTGGTGTTACTGTGTGGCCTTCTCCAGATCCAGAGCATTTTGGGAAAAGGACCACCTTTCAAAGAGCAGCCTGGTAGAGAACGAAAGTACTTTGTAGGGGAATATGCCTGTGATAATAAGGTGGACATAGGAACTGATGAAGAAAGGACAGCCTAGGAACAAGTTTTCTGTGCAGGAAAACGAATTGGAAAGATGGTTAGAAGATGGGGTGAAAGAGGTAAGCAAACTGAAGTAAGAGGAGGAGGATGAAGGAAGGTGTGTGATATACAGGGAATGGCTGTTCATGCTTAGCTATTAAAAGGCATCATTAAAGGGCAGAACTAAACCTGTATGGGTGTCTTAGAAATATATTTTCATATTTGATTTCTTAGGATAATACTTTTTTCAAAATAATTATATTTCTGTACTGCTGCCAAAGTATTTGCTGTGTTCAGTAGGTCTCCTTCATCTTAGTTTCAATATAATCTGTGTTATGGCTGGGCTTTTATAATCTCTGTATTTGCCATATATTGTCATTTTCGGTTTGCGTTTTTCTTTTGTCATTTTCTTCCTATTTTGACACATCTAACTGCTGTGGCAGTGGGACTTTGATATATAAGGGGAAATATATTTGAAAAGGTTAATGGGATGACTAAAAGGGCACTAGGTGTTACTGCAGAATGAGTGCATTTAGTGGTGATTTATAGTAGTGTATTTCTGAGACAAGTAGAATGATCTGTTTGTGCTTGCTAATTTAAAATTTCTCAAACCAGTAGAAAATTTAGGGATACAGACATATATCTGTAAGCCCAAAGCTTTTGTTGATATGACAGTGATGAGATGCTATTGCTTTTATCTTCTGGTGTGCCTGAGAGCAACCACTCGAGCTAAGGACAAGTTTAAAATGTGATTTAACAATAGTTAGTTTCTGGAGATATAATATAGGCTCTCCATTTATACTGTTGAGCTTTTCTGAAGATGTCATATTTGGGTGAAGTTTCACTTGTAAGATCTTCTGATTCCAGTGTATAATTTCAGATTTCACAAAATCTGACATGAAATGCATATGTTCGGATTTCAGGAGTTTAGAGAACATGAATTGGATCTATGAAGATATAAAAGATTTTCAAGTCGAGTAAATAGGGCATCTTGATCCTGTGGAGTTATGGCATAGGGAGTGGAGTCGTTCAGGAAGCAGAGTGGGAAGAGATGGCAATTAGTGGCACACTTCAGCTTGCAGGCCTTTCTGGAGATGCCCTTAGGTCATGGCTGAGAACTGTGTAAGAGATCCCAGGTCACACAGAGACTGGGTATCAGGCTCCTCCTTCATTTTATGAAACCTGTCTATAAAACTAGACTGAATTATGTACATGAAGAACGTTTGTTGGATGACGCGTGGCTAGAATTTGTACCGGTCCGTATTCTTTTAAGTGCTCCTAAAACAGGGGTTGGTAATCTTTGTGTCTTTTTTCATTTGAATTAAACCTGTTTGGCTTACAAGTTAAAATGAGACAGTTACTTGGTGGGTTTTTTTAAATTATTAAATAATAATTCATTTTGATTGCAAAGTTTTTGCCTCGTAAGACTTTTTTTCTTAAGTGTTCTACTATCTGTAATAAATTTAGCCTTAAACTAATTTCTCTTTGTAATTCTAGAATGAGGGAAGGAGGTTGTGCATGGTACCAACTAATAAGCAAGTAGCAGTACATTAAGAACCTAGAGAAATATAAATCCCACTTTCCCTACTGGTTATCCCATCTGTGTTTCTTGATAATAGTATTATCAACAAAATATGGAGAATAAGTAGGAGGAGACCTGCTAAAAATAGTACCACATTTCTGTCTTGATGTACAGGTTTCCTGTAATTCAATGTCTTATACCTACACCCACTCTGAAAAGATTTCCAACTATTTGTTTTGAGGATGAGCATCAAAGCAACTTCTAATGCTGTAAAATGAATCAGATATTAATGTATTAAATAAGTCTTGAATCTTGAGTCAAAGTCTGGAATATAAATTAAAGGCAAAGACTGATTAGAGTGTTAATTAGACTCCCGTAGGAAAGGGTAATGGTTGTGCTAAGTTGGAAAGCTAGAATTAGTGGCTAAAGCTTACTGTTCCAGGAGCTAGAGGATAGGGTGAGACTCCTGATTGATATTTGAGAATTGACTAGACAAAGGTTGGTACTTTGGTTGGGAATGGGGGTTATCAATTATTCTATTTTATGATGAAGATCAGTGAGGGCTTTTCTGGAAAAACAGATTGTAATGGATTCTGATTTTGCTATGAAATAGGAATTTCAAAGCAACCCTACTAACTTTATTATTCAGATTTGTCCTAGTTAGTTTTTGATTTGGAATGATGAAGATTAAAAACTACTGATAGTGGAGGTTTCATTTATATGAAACTTATATCTGTAACTGAAGCTGGTGGGATTGCAGCCTATATATTTGGAGTTACAGCTCCATATCCCCTGCAAAATAGGGATTGATACCATAAAGGACTTACGAGTTTCTGTGATCTGAGTGCAGATGGGGTAAGTAAGGTCAACTTGTGGCTTCTGCAGGTTGTTAGTCTCACATGTAAGAACAACTACTGCACACTGTGAAGACTTTAAGGCAATCAAAGTTCCTCTCCATATGAGAAAGTGAGATATCAGTGACTCCTAAAAATGAGGTTAGCTAGGTCACCACTGTATGCTAAGAACTGCAACAGTTGTGGCAACAATGCATTTCAAGGAATTTGCTGTCTCTTTGAGTGTGTAAGCTTCTTCCAGATATCCTTTCCCTTGCTTCATTAAGTATGTTTCTTGTGACTGCACAGAGGTTCCTGAGAGATTTTACTATCCATCTTCTTCGAGCCTTCACAGTTCACTGCTTTTGAAGATGTTTCTGGATGTGGTTAGGTGGAAATACAAAGTGTCCATAAAGCATGCAATATTATCACATATTATGCCTATGCATTTCTTACCTTAAATACAATTTGTCTTAATGATACTTTGAATTTCTTAGAAGTCTTTCACCACAGTATGTTTGCAAGTTTTTTTTATTAAACACTGATAGCTATACCAGTTTAGTATTGTCTGTGTTGCTTTCTGCGTGGCCTGAGACAACTATGAACCTGGAGCCCTTTGAGACATTAATAAGCTGATTTCCTGCTTTGCAGAAGTCCTAGTGGTGCTCATATGCCTTGTCTTCCTTTTTCTCATTCTTGTGAGCAAGAACATGATTCTGAAGCTGTGCTGGTGCAGACTTTCACAACATTTACACCAAGCTACCCTTGCTAGTGTGTCAGAAATAAAGTATACCATCTCTCCCCAGTTCAGAACTGTCAAACGGGTTCTTCAGAACAGAATAGCAGCTTGTGGTACATTGGCTGTGAATACTGCCTTATGCTCAATAATTTGGAAGGAAAGCTACCACATTCCTGTATTAGAATAAGTCTGAAAGTTGTTGGGGTCTTTGTATGGTTTCACTCCACTTTTTCATAATTCACCTGTGAGAAAAGTTTCTAGTTGGTGACTGCTGTTCACTTTCAGTTCTGAATCTAGCAAATCCTAAATGTTCTCTTTTCTAATTTGGCTCAAAATATTCTGCCAGAAAGCAGCAATTTTCTTTTTTAATTAATCCTGTAATCTTCTTGCTACAGACAGAAAGTGCCTGGGCTGAAGAATATTTAGAAAAGAAGAGAAACTCACACAAACGTTCATCATCATGGGGCAGCAATGAACAACTCAAGGAGGTCAGAAATGCCATTACTTGAGATACCTTTGGATTAAATTTTTTAGTGGTGTGCACTGATACTATGATTTTTCAGGAAGGCAGTATTTAATACACTAATGCAGGTCTATTAAAGATTTTAATCTGAATGTTGGGAAAGAAAGTGTTCAATGCAGGTGACATTCTTCATCAAAGGAGAAAATACAGCAGTGACCAAACTACTTTCAAACTTCATGTATTTCAAGTTCTTTCATTAAATCTCCAGAGGTGCCTTCTGGGCTTCAGTTTGAGTTGGTTACTAACATATTAGATGTGCAAGATCTTGACTCTGACTTAGTGCTGGCAGTAGTTATGAACACTGTGGTAGTAAAGAATTTTAAGTGTGTGATGGAACAGATTCATGACACTATACAATACACTTGTTGAAATCTAATTTTTCCTTCGTTAGATTGCAAAATTGCGTCAACAACTGCAGAGAAGCAAACACAGCAGTCGGCACCACCGCGATAAGGAGAGGCAGTCTCCATTTCATGGCAACCATGCTGCCATTAACCACAGTCAGGTAAGGCTGGGTGCTTTTTGGCCATATTGGGTAGCTAATACTAATTTTAACTCCTTTCAAGGTTGTGATTTGCCTTTAAGGGAACTTAGAAATACTGCTAAATGTGTTGTAGCTATAGGTGAATTCTATGAAATGGGTCACTTTCTTTTGACTTCCTTGAGTGAACGGAGTTACAGATTTTTTGTTATTTGGATGAACTGGCTTTGAACTCCCACTTTCAAATAATTTCAGGTAGTTAAATCCTTCCTTAAAGCAAGATTTTTAAAATGCATTCTGCAGGCTCCACAAAGGATGACAGATAAGTTTAAGCAAAAACCACAGATCATCTTTTTCCTTACGCATTGCTGTAACAATTATGGCTTTGCATGTAGAATATGGCATGGAGCAAACTGCTGGTAAAACTGTATACTCAAATAAAATGGGGCTTTTTTGAGCACATTTTGTGTCTTGACAAACTAATACTGTGATATTTAGAGAGCTTCCCTGGCAAAAGGCTATTAAATGGGATTATTTATTTGTTTATACACTTCATGACTTCATTCAGGCTTTGTAAGATTTCATTTCTCTTTCCTGTCATTTATTGTGCCTTGAGACTTGGAAGTAGTAATCATTTCAAAAATTGCAGTGGTTAGGCTACCACATGTTCTGTGTGCAGTTTCAGTTTTATCTCAAGACTTTTAATAAGGTCAGGTTGACAGAGATGTAATATTTTTAGTTCAATTGATAACAAGCATAAAAAAAATATAACCTTTCAGACACACAGATCCTTTTTCAAGTGTGTTTTGCTTGAGTAACTTTAAGAAAACCAATAGGAAAGTTTGGACATTTTTTCAGAAGGAAACTTTTTTCCTCTCCCTACTGATCTTGTGAATGTATATTTGATACACACAATTTTTTAACAGTTATGAAAAGAACAATAGCCTTGCAATGCAATGTAGTTGAAAGAAACTATGAAACTGTCAGTGTTGTGAATTGAGAAAGTACTTCATCTCTGAAGCTTCTCTGAAAATCTAATCATATTCCCAATTGCTCCTGATATGCCGTTAGCATTGTTCTAATAAATATCATAATTTGACACCAGTTAATAAAAACTGTGTCATTTCTGTCTTCCATCCTTCTGGAATTAATTTAGGCCACAGAGGGAAGTTGTGGCATCAGCATGTGTCCTGCTCTACAGATACTTATCCACTCTGATAAAGGATGAAATAAGAAATAGAAGGGAGAACCACGCATTCAGTCCTAAGCAGCCAAGTTATTTCCCAGATAAAAGTCAGGTGTCTGAGTGAATCTATTTGTCTTTCAAGACTGGAAATAAGAAAATGGAACAGCGTTTTGGATTTCTTCTGCTCTGTTCTTCTTAGCTCCTACTTTGTATTAAAAAATCATTAGCATCTTTTGTCTCAGACCCTAACTTCTTAGCCCTGCTGTAGGTCACTTAATTAGGAGTCACAAATTTTCAGGACTTAAGTGCCTTTGGAAATCAGTTTGAATTCTGTTCTATTAGAGGTATTTAGGATTTTTTTAGAATTACGTTTTTTGACATAACAATTTAGGAATTACTTCTTCAAACTCCTTAAATCTTGAGACAGAAACTATTTCCTCCTCTTTTGTGTAGCAGAAGAACAGATTGGATTTGAAACAGGCTGTGTTGTACAGATGCCTACGTCTTGGTCTTCTTTACTGCAGTGTGGGTGCAGTGTAGTGTGCTGCTGATCATAGTGACTGCTGTAGCTCAAGTCAGAACAGTCCCAAATGATGAACAAAGGAAGACAAATAAATGACCCAATCCCTTTCTAGGGGTTTTTGAAAAAGTTTATGAAAATCAACATACAAAACATGTCATAAACTGTTGGTTCAAAAAAGAAAAAAAAGTCAGATCAACATACTTGATGCAGGTGTTTTATCCAAATTTATAGAACTTGAGGACATTTGAGGCATTTCAACCAAAAGGTACCCTGAGGAGATTTTGGCATAGGTTCTTTAGTACCTGGAGAATCTCATGCAGTCTGTCAGGTTTTCTTGGCATTCTGCAAACGTGTAGGTTTCTGAATGCTAAGCTATTGTCACTATAGCATAGATAATCTTAGTGGGTTTTAATTTTCAAAATGAACAGTGATGCTATTACTCTGAAAAATAACCCACCTGCAAATTAGGTACCTAACATTTTTTTGGTCATAATTATTTTATTATTTTGCTTCTTGTGTGGATGCATTTGCATTCTGCCAAATTTTAGAGTATGTGAAAAAAATATTGCACAATGGATAATTAGTTTTTGGGCTTGTGAAACAAACTATAAAATATAAACTGAGGCAAAGCAGCTTTTCCAGGATTGTGATAGAAAACAAAACATTGTTTTTCTTGGTAAATTTTGTGCCTGCTGTGTTGAGCTACTTGCAAGGGAGGCAAGTTACAGAAGGACTCAAAAAGAGAGTTAAGTGAAGAGTTTAGATTAATGGCATTCAGTGGCTGTTTTCTAAGTCAGAGTGAGAATCTGTAACTGTAGGCATCAAGGGCAAAGTTCTTAGATTTTCTCATTCCTCTTTTGGGAACCACTAAACTAGCATTTCTGGCAACAGCTCAGTTCCTTCAGGATTTGTGGGAAGGACTGTGTGGAAACTAGCATTTAGTGATGAGAATACTTAGAATTTATTTTTTTTTTTTTACATTCCTAGCTTGAAGGAAACTTGTGTTTGTTGACTCTAAAGAGTCATACAAAGATTTCTGAGCTCAAAGAGTTGGATTCCTGACAAGGTGAAAAAAAGTGTTAGGAAATGGCTTCAGTAGTTCCTTCACAGAGACTAAGTAAACACTGTTTAACATTTGGAAAATGGCATATTCTTCTATTAAAATTAAAATAAGAAATTTCAGTGAATTTATATCCTCTTTTCTTCCCCACTAATAAAAACTTAAACTTTGCCAGAAGTCTTGAATTTAACAAAAATTTTCACTGGGTCTTGCCAACTAAGCCTCTGTTTAGTTGTGCTTCTTTCTAATACGATTTTTATGTGAGAAAAAAAATCCACACAATCTCTATAGAATAAGCTAGTTAGCTGTTCCTGTCCATCTACTCAGAATCAGGAAATAGTTGGTGAGGACCTTGATCAAGTCTGATCTGCTGACTGCATTTATTTGTAGAGCAATTGAATGGGGGTTTTTTTTGTGTGGTTTTTACATTATGCCAGAAATGTTCCATTCTGCCTCTCTTATCAGGAAGAGGGGCTTGCAGAAATGTCATAACCTCCTCAGGTGATCTCAAGTTGCTTCTGAGAACACTTATAATTAATTGTCTGGTACTAAATCTGTAAACAGGAGTCAAACCACCGTGATTTTTCTTTATTCTCAATGTTGGTGTAGTGGAGAAAGTAGAATTGAGGCCAGAGCTGAAGCTAGATGAAAGAATAAATGGGTTAGTTTTTCCAAAATAATCTTTTTTTTCCTCAGTGCACTTGACTGATGTTACATTGCTACTCGACACTATGAACCATCAAGTCCCCCTGTTCCTTTCAGTTTCCTGAGAAGCATGTGTCCTTAATGTCTTACCAATTGATTGATCCTAAGCAACCACTAATATCAAGACCAACTGCATGTAGTTTGCAGTGTTTGGGGTTTGCTTTTTTTTTTTGGTGTCACTCTTACCTTACAAAGGTAGAGCATTTCTTTTTTAGGGTGGAATTACCATGATCCATTCAGCCTTGAGAAGGTTTGATGTTAGCATCTAAAGGCATCCAAAGACCTTGCATTCTGTTTAAAGTTTTGTTGCTTGTTGAAAAACTGGAAGATCTTGGAGCATTTTTCCTGAAATGCCTGTGAACAATTTAGATTGGTCATCACCCCTATTTCATATCTCATGAGTTTATACCATACCTGTAAGGACTCTTAACTGTCCTGCAGCAACACTCCCTGACAGTATGTTATTATGTGAGTGCTGTAATTATTATCCTGTGTTTGCACCTTGCCTCATTGTGTGCGTTCACAAATGTGCAGGTGAGTAGCCCAAGGTTGGCAGTCAATTCCTGCATGTCAGGGCCCAGCTCCATGCAGTCCTCTGTGAAGGCAGTATTTCTAATAACAAGTTTCTTGTTTTGAGGCTGATTGTTCCACCCGTGTCACAATACCTCCTTCCCTTCCCGCCCTCTGGCACTCTGGGCTAGCAAATCATCCTCACCCGTGTACAGAATATTATTTTTCTTGGAAGTGAAACACACCATATTGAACTTTATTGAACTCTAATGGAGGAACTTGTGCTTTTCTACTTAGAATCATGCTACTATTTGAAGAGCTCAAAGAATTTTCGTGGTGGGCAATCATATTTAAAAGATGGAGAACTCGCACGTTTTGCTGATGGTGGTTGAAATCTTAAAGCATACTTGCCTTCTACTTTTTCACAATTCAGTTTGTCTTAAGAATGTGTATATTGAATAACTGGGTGCATAAACAGTTTTTAGTGCCTAAGCTTATGCTGATATACCTGTATTATAACTGAATATTGACCTCTGTTAGTTTACTGGATTGTTGATCCTAGGCCTTGCTTGGAATTAGCAGGGTTGTTTTCTCAGACTTTTTTGTACTCTTTTCCTGTGGTTTTGGTTTTCTGTTTCTTCTTCAGGCAAGACTTTTGAAAGTCTTTACAAGTTCAGCTATTATGAGGGTGTTTAGTTTTTGTTGACAAGCAGAGTGACAAGCATTTCCTGAATAGAAACTTTTGTGTTTGCTTGTGCAAGTCTTTTGAGTTGAACTAAATGTTTGCAGGAAGCATTCCATTATCTGTAGTACAACCCTGCTTAAGGAGGGCAGAATATTCTCATATTCTGGTAGCGTGATTTTTTTTTTAACAGGAGGGAGGACTCTAATGGAGAGACTGGAAAATATTGAGAGGTTGTGGTGTACCAAAGGGGGTTTTGGGAAACTTCAGTATCATGTTTGCTGAGAATGGAGTTTTCATGCATGCTTTGAAACACTGGATTTTTAAAGTGGTGATCTTCATTCTGAAGCAACTATGTATCAACACTTGGGTTTGGGATTTTATTCTCTCTGTGGAAGTCTTCTGAAGTTGTTTTGTCAACCTTTTATTCTGGCTTAATATAGTTAATATGTTAGACTTAATTTCTAGCATAGTGGAATCTTGCATTTGCGCAATAATTTTCATGTGTCCTATCAGTGTATGTGGCCACAGACTTCCATTAAAATATAATTTTGATGAAGGTACAAATGGTAAATCTAATAGTGAACGTTGTGACTTGATGGTATAGCTCACTTCAGGAGAAATGTGAAAGTATTGTAAAGGCTTCAAAATTACTTACATTTAAATGTTTACTTTACAAGTGAAAATTTAACAGTAATGTCAAGCCGGAGACAGACCATATTGAGGGAAATTTTGAGACAAGATTATATAGCTTTTCCTGCTATAAATCAGATTTTAAACAAAATTCAGGATGTCTGTCTTCATTTAAGGCATCCATTTGAACACAGTCGCTATAGTTTCAAGTACATCTGATACCAAGGTGTAGATGTGTTCTGTTCCAAGGGTCACTTTTGAGTAGAAATAAATGTAGATTTATTTACAAAACATTCTCATTGTCTCTGGTTCTTCAGGCTCCCATTCCAAAGAGTGCTCTCGTTCCTGTGATACCTATTACCAAATCAACAGGATCACGATTCCGGAACAGTGTAGAAGGACTGAATCAGGAGATTGAGATAATAATTAAGGAGACGGGAGACAAGGAGGAACAACTTGTTGTATGTATCTGCCACCATGATTACTCTGTATAATAATTTTGGTTTTGCTTTGAGGTTTATAAGTCATAAGCTTTATTTTACACAGTTCTCGAATTAAATTTGTCTGGAATTAATTTTATTTATATATATTCTTTTTTTTAATAAGGTTAGTTGAAAAGTCTCTTGGAAAACAAAAGGAAGCAAAACGTTAAAGCTTGAATTCTGAACCTTTTCTTCTTAATAAGTGATCTCAGTAAAACAGGGGGAAAGACAAAAAGTCTGTTTTAAGAGTTTTTGTAGTAACTCTTTTTTGCCCATGCTGAACTGCTCCCATCTCAGTTGAAGCATAACTTGCCCATTTTTAATGTTAATTTTATTTTAATGATTTTTAGAGGTAAATTTATTAATAAAGTATCAGAAATACAGACCATGAAGATGATTAAGGGACTGAAACGTTTGTCATATGAGGAGAGGCTGAGAGAGCTGGAAGTTCAGCCTTGAAATGAGAAAGCTCAGGGAGATCTTATCAACATGTACAAATATCTGATGTACAGGAATGAAGAGAGGGAACTGGTCTCTTCTCAGTAGAGCCCAGTGACAGGGCAAGGGGCATAAATTAAAAAACATTGGATTTTATTTTTTTTTTTTAATGTGTGTGGGTGTGCAAAACTGGAGTAGGTTGCCTAGAGAACTTGTGGAATCACTCTCTGTGGAGATACTAAAAAAAATTGACAGGACAGAGTCCTGGACAAGCTGTTCTGGCTAACTCTGCTTGAGCAGAGATGTTGAACTAGATAATCTCAAGAGGTCCCTTCCAGCCTCAGCAGTTCTGTGATGATGTGAAATGTTAAACTGTTGTCCTTAGTTTCTGAACCTGACTTATTTTCTGTTGGAGTTGTGTGTAATGAATTTTTTTTTTTTCCCACAAATGGTTTTGTGAAACCGGAAAAAAACCCTCACTGTTGCTGGATTTAAAGAATTGCTAACCAGATAAGAGCAGCCATCTGATACCTTTCACTTTTAACAGCCTCAAGATATTCCAGATGGGCACCGTGCACCACCCCCGGTGGTTCAGCGCAGCAGCAGCACTCGGAGCATTGATACCCAAACACCCGGGGGAGCAGACAAGGGCAGTAACAACAGCAGCCGCTCCCAGTCAGTGTCTCCAACCTCCTTCCTTACCATCTGTAATGAAAGCAGTGAAGAAAGTCCCTGTTCTACAGATGATCTTCTTGGTGACTCCAGAGATAAAGGTACTGTGCAACTTTAAAAATTGAACAATGCTGAACTGCAATTTGTTAAACTGTAAAAAAAGGGAATTTGTTCCCTATGTCCATGGAGAAAAATGATAGAATGTGTTTTTCTTTGTAAGTGATGGTTTTTTTCCAAATTGCTCCAAATACTGTGTGCACACATATTAATTGGAGCTGCATAGATGTGACTGGGGAATGTGCTTCCCAAACAAATTTTTGTTTTTTAAATAATAGGTTCTTCAGGTATTTTAAGCAAGTTAAAGAAGCAAGAGTGTACAGTAACAGGTGGAACAGCACCTGTCAGGTATTTGCTTGTCAGGTATTTCTTTTTATGATCTTAGACAAAGTGGGCAACGTTCCAGCATTTCGTACATGTACATATAAAAGTTTAACTGTTTAGACTTCGTAAATTATTCTCTATATCTGAAATCTTCTGAGATATTGTAGGAAAATTTTATAATTCAACATAAACCTCTTCTGTTTTTTAAGGAATATGACTTCTACCCATTTCTCTTGGGGTAGATGGTTATGGCACAGAACCATAGATTTGGGTTTGCAGTTACAAACTGAAAATATCCAGGAATGATCAGGGATGGCAGAGGAGCCTGAAAATGTTATATGGAGAAACAGAAAGGAGGAAAGGGATTGAGATAAGAAATCTTATTTGCAAATGAAGACTTGAAGGCAAATGAAAATGTTTCTTAATTTTGTAACATTGGTAATGAAGTGACTTTAAATTTGGGGAGCATTTAAAGACAGCTCTTGTGGTATTTTTATAGTGTGACACATTTAAGTAATCAGAAACTCTGTTTCTGCAGAGAATGGGAATAATTCTCCTTTGCCAAAATACGCTACCTCACCAAAACCCAACAACAGCTACATGTTCAAGCGTGAACCTCCCGAGGGCTGTGAAAAGGTGAAAGTCTTTGAGGAAAACTTGTAAGTTGATCTTTGCTACCTAAGAAATAACATCTAACAATCAGAGTTAATTATTGCTTTATTGATTTTGTGTCAGATCAAAGTTATTAATCCAGTTGCTAAAACCACGATAACAGCCTGATCTCTGTTCTGTGTGACTATATATTGGCATATGTAGGTATGTATTTTACTGCTGGAATTTTGTGTTAAAATCTTGAGAAACTCTTTATAAAAACCGTAACTCAAGAGGACTGTCTCTTACCTGGCAGACAGGGGGAGAGGAACTCCAATAATCAACTAGAGAGAGATGTACTAATAAGCTGTAATGCAGGTGCATCAGCTAATATATGTCACAGCTTGACAGGCATATCCAGTAATCTAGACTCTGAAGACCATATTCTTTTCATCTAAATCAGTGTAGTTGTGAAACTTTTGGTAACAGGAGTGAATTTTACCTTGAATATTTGGTGCTTAGGTTATTCTGAAAAAAGCCAACTTTTATCATTTGGGAGTATTCTGGGGGTTACATTTTATTATTTTCAGAGGAGTTTTTGTTCTCTCATGTCACTTGCATGCGAGAATCTTAACCTATAGTTAAAAATTTCATTTTGTCACATAAGTATAGATTCTCTATAATTCTCTTATGCCTATGTTATCTCAAGAATGCCATCTGATATGTGTTAAAGTAACAAAAACCCTTGAACTTGCCTGATCTCTGCAAATGGATTTTGAGAGGTTTCTATGGCCTCTCCCATAGCAATGTGGGAAGGGTTACAGTAACTTAAGTTACCTGTCTCTATTTTAGAGTGTGTAAGCTTTGTTACCAACAGATTAGATAGCATTCACTTTTTTCAGGAACATAATCTATTGTGGTTTAACTTGCATTAGCATTTCTTTTCAGCAGTCCTTGCTGTGTAGCTGTAGGACTGTTCTGCTATAGAGGGAAACGGGTTTATACAGCTTCTACAGCAGCTTTTACCTGGCTGTCACAGTTCTTAGACACTGCAGTCTGATGAAAAAATCTTTTCAGATCTGTTACTGTATTCCATATGTACCTGGAATACATGAGTGTAACTATTTAAAGCTCAACCTTTGTTTAACATAATTTCTGTTTGTTAAACAGAAGTTTAACACAGTGGGGTTGAATTTTCTGGACACTTGGGAGAATTGGCTAACATGGAAATGTACCCTATTTCATGAACAGACTCTACTCTTAAAAGTAATTGTCTCTTACAAGAGTATACTGGAGGTTGGTTTGGCCTAGTATAACAAAGACAGAAGTGCATAAGGCTGTCTTACAAACACATGGAAGGGAGGGGGAGGTTATAGGCTAAAGGACAATACTGGCAACAAGAAAATATTAGTATAAATTTTTGATGGCTATTTTCCAGCAGTAAAGAGAGACTTTAAAGCAGATTCCCATAGTTCTATCTTAAAGCAGAATTCGGCTAGCTGAGGTAGATTTACATTGCAGGGTTAGAAATGAACACAGTAGGCATTCCTGTGCTATCCACAATTTCCCTTCCAGCTCTGTTTTTCATAAAGCATGTCTTTGATTTGGTTGAGTTCTGTGCTGAGATGGCAAAACTGCAAGTCAGGATCTAAATGCTTGTTCCACACTTCCTTCCCAGATTATAGGTACTTGATCATGAATGTCACTTTGGGAATACTGTATTTTACTCTCTGCATGAGTTTTTAAGTAAGATGGGGTTATCTTTTACAGAGAGTCAGACCACACTCATGTGAACATGCAAAGGAGTCAGAAGTGTAGACAAGGGGATGATCTCCCTATGGTCATGAACTGCTTTGAGATATGCAATATTAGGAACATTGCTATGCCGGCTTTCTTTCACAAGGCTTGTTGTATAAAGTGTCTGTATGGGGGGCAGAACTGGTTGGGTTGTGAAAGTTTCTGGAGAATGGGATAGAGAATACTTTCTCATATGTTGGATGTGCCAATACATGGACAGGGTTTGTGATCTGCAGCATGAACAGGGTTTGTGATGTGCAACATGAAGTTGGTGTCCTCCTTAGGTTTGGAGACAGCCTGCCCTAAGAACATGCTGTTTACCTCGTAGTACATGTAAACAAGCAGTTTAAACTATCTTGTCACTTGCTGTGTGGTGTGTGTCATTAAGGCATTATTAAATAGCTGAAATACTCCAAGTTGAAACCTCAATTTGTTTCTGATGATGTGTTCAGCAATACATCCCTGCCATTGGCAGAATTTGATTGTTCATAAAACTATTGTGTGTATTTTATTTCTAGGCCAAAGCCATTGCATGAAATTCCAGCCTTCTATTGCCCTGACAAGAACAAAGTGAATTTCATTCCGAAAAGTGGCTCTGCTTTCTGTCTTGTCAGCATCCTCAAGCCACTTCTTCCCACACAGGATCTCACACTTAAGGGCACTACACACAGCCTGACTGTCTCCTCCAGCATGACGCCTGGTTTGTTACAGCCCATTTCCATGGCCGCCTTGACTACAAACACAGATCAAGACAGGATCTCTCGTGGAACAAGCACAGTAATACCACAGTCCTCTCTGCTCCAGCCGTCCGGATGTATTGAGGAAGCTGAAGAATAGGTTTAGATTGTCTTGACACTTTTCTGGGCAACTACTGGGGAAAAAAAATGGAACCAGTTGACTGGACCTTTCTAATCACACTATTTGCATTGTTTTAAGAATTTATGGCACTGCCATAATCAAACTGTTTGTATAATTGACAGTTTGGTAGCACATTGAGAAGTTCAGGAGGATGCAGCAGCTGATGCGCTGTTGCACTTTCTGCTTATAAAGACTATGGTTCTGTTTCTCTCCTGCTTTTTTAAACACTGGTGAAAACAAAGACACTCATAATCCTTTGCCATTCAAAGGACCAGTTGTTGTGATACTGTGTGTCCTTTGACTTTTTTTCTCATTAAAACAAAAATCCCGAGACCAACCAGCTGATCCCATTTACCATTGTAATCTGCAGAGGGAGGGGCAATCAGATGGTTTTGCAAGATGTCTTTTGTATGAAAATGTGTATTTTGTAACAAAAATTTGCCTTTTCTGGTTCGTAGCAGATGGTGTTTCCTGAGGATGATCCCCTCCCCCTCTTTTTTTGTTTTTCTTTTGTAGGGAAGGTTCTTTTATACTTGGCTGGTTTACAGCTGATGGGACCAAAGGATTGCTGAATTACTTCTGCAGTCTCAAATTATGTGACCTTGCTGAACAGCCTCAGCTCTAAACAAAACAAGACAAGTTAATACGTTTGAAACTTTTAAAACAGAAGAGTATGCAAAAAAAAGGTGTTAGTATATAGTGTACATTTTTTTGATATTGAAAATTTGTGCTTCTGGTAAGTCACATTCTTAAAACACCTTCCTTCACAGAATTCCTACTACTGTTGGCTTATTGACTGGAAAATTGCATTTTAAAGCACTTGCCCCAGTATTGTTGTATTTGTTCATAGAATTTTTGTGCAGAGGTAGGGAAAAAAGATATTGTCCTCTTACTTGGTATTCTTTCTTCCAGAAAATACTTGGCTCTTCCAGGCTTGCTTGACTACTTACAAAGTTAGTCAGCCTGAGTCATTAATCACTCTTGGTACAAATTTGCTCTGACGTGACTCATCACTGTATTATAGACCCTGGCCACATAGTACTGAAATACTTGTGCATGGTTTCCTCCCTGTTGTCATAGTGGTGTTTGTGTGTCCGTTGAAGGTGATGGTTTGTCAGGCATGATATCTGTTATGCAGAAGTTTACAGCAGCAGATACATTCTCCCTTTTTGACTAGCAACTTAGGTTGGCATGTAAAACAAAGGGTTTTTCTTTTTTTGATACTTGGTCTGTCCAGATAATGCAGCAGTTAACAGTTCCTTTGAAATTACAATAAAAGAGGAAAATGGGGGGGAAAGGCAGTTGCAAACAGAAACTGTTCAGGAACTTCAGTGAGGTTCCTCATGTGTTCCTGGAGTTCATTACTTGGGTTTGAGTAAATACAATATAGATATGCAAAAACCTGCAATGACCTGAATACCAGTGTCATATCAACCTACAAAGTCGATCTTGCACCTCTTTTACAGAGTTAGGTTTGGTAATTTCAAAGCGTCATCCTGGGCAGTCTCTTGCTCTCAGTATTGGTCTGTTACACACGAGCAGTTCTCGCTGGCTTCCACACACATACCTTTCACAAATCCCTTGCATACTCAGGTCTCCTCATAATGGCAACTATTTAAAGATGATACTGCAAATATAACAGGTTTGTTCAGTGCTTAATATGATAAATTTGCTTGCAAACACTTGACTTGGGAGCAAAAAACCTTGCGTATGTGTGCAGATAATAATCATCGTTTCTATGAACGTTTGCTGTTACGTTAAATCCTCTGTAAGTAACTATTATAGCAGTGTACTTTACTCAGCAAGTGTAAATTGTACTAGAATCTGAAAGTCCTGTGTTTACAGCATAATGAACCCATTCTTACAACATTATGCAAAAAAACCAGTAAATGAAAAATGTACCAGGAAGCATTAAAATATTACACCTGTTAAATTAGCAAACAAACAGAATTTGGCTTACTTTCTATCTTCTTCTTGAAAACAGATAGGATTGTTTTGAAGTAACAGTTCTGCTTTGCACTGACAATGTCAGTTAACTGAAGTTGTTCAGGACCAGTTTTAAAATAAGTGGCTTTGTGCATCAAATTTATGTAATTTTGCCAGTTGATAATTCTTTTCTAGGCTTTGTGGATATTAATTAGTTTCTTCTGAAACACTACAGTGCAATTTGAAGTCTAAAATTTACTGCTTTAGGTAGGTTTTTTTTTAAACCTGATGTGACTGAATTCAGATCATGTTCAGGTGAAGGAAGTACTTCTGAGTCTGTTTTCTATTTCTGTAACAGTAGCGTGTAAAGAACTTTTCCATCATTGCCAAACTGCCTAGTGCTTTATTAGGAGATCTTAACTGAATGGTTAAGAACCAAAGGGCTAAAGTTAACAAATAGCCTTTATTACAGCCTTGACACTTAACTGACTTCACCAAAACTGCATTCTGATGTTTGTTTTCATCACAGAGTGACTCTCCCAATAGCGGTGGGCTTTCGTACTGTAGGACTTCCTTTTGCACCTGTTGTTGTAGTACTTCAAGTATCTCTTTGGTAGTTTACCTTGTATGTTATTGGACAATGTACTGTATAAATTAGTGAGCTGCTCTGATAAAAACCAAATGCAAATGTGTCAAGTTTTTGCTTTTTGTAAAGAAAAAAAAAAACCACAAAAAACCCAACTGCATTCAGGACAACATTCAGTCTTTTTTATATGCAGGACAACTCTACTATTGCTTGGCAGGTGGACTTTATTATGAATCCACACTAAAGACTCAGAATTAAGAAAATATGACAGCTTTGTTCTGAGACCATCTTTGACATGTGTGCAGACAAAAAATTAGCCTTAAACTTTTTATGTGCTGTCTTGTGCCATAGCATAGCTGTTAGATAAAGTATTTAAATCTATTTCAAATAGCTTTGAGAGTGCATGGAGCTTTTTAAAAATTCTTTTATGTATAGAGTGGGATATCCATTTTTTGGAGGAGCTGACCTTGCATTGCTCAAGCAGAGTTTTACTGAAAGAGTCTAAATTCTTTTGTTATACTTAAAATCCTAACTATGCATAGACCTAGTCAGTTCCTTGATTGCCTAGTTTTTAGCTTAAGAAAAAGTCAAGGTCTATTTTTATGCACAACTTGACACACTTGATATTCTTGTTTTCTTAGTATTTTACACTTCTAGTCACACTTAAAGGATGGTAGCAGTGTTCAGTAACAGTGACAGTTGATTTTGAGATATACTAAATGATGTTACTCCAGTTATAAATTCTACTTAAGTCACAAGGAAGGAGTTCATTGTAATGAAGTCCGTGGTGACAGCTATGATTGTTGGAATCCTTTTTTTAAAAACTCAAGGCACAAGGGAAGAGGACTTCTTCGTTGAAGTTTGACCTGCATCAGCTATTCTTTACTTGCTTAGTGCCATAATCCTGTAGCATTTAAGTTCTTGGAAAAGTAACAGATAATGCTTGGGTACTTGGAAATTTCTTGGAAAGAAATTCTTGGTTTCAGGTACATATCCCAAGTGAGGAAAAAAGGGAGTGAAAATTAAATATTGCATACTGTGGAAGTAAATGCTTGCTGTGTTTGACTTACATGAAGCAATAGCAGCTCTTTAAAAGTGTGTTTAGTCTCAGGGCTATTTTTTGATTTGTTCTAAAATACAATTTCCTGGAATTCAGAGTCTGAGACTTTTGGAAAACACTGAAGCTGAGCCTTTTGGGAAGAAGAAAACAAAGTCATATCCATTAACCTTTCTTCTGCCTGAGGCCTAACTTCTTTTTGCTTATTGAGTTTGATAGAATTCAGTGGTACAGCAATAATTCCTTGCTGGAGTTCTATCTGTTCTCTCCCTGCCATCTCTGAAATGCTGACCGATGTCTTCCCAGTAACTGGGTGCCAGAGATGTCCATATTTCCTTGCTGAATGTTTTCTTGCTGGAGTACCTGACAGCTTCTCCATGAAGCAGGGGGGGAGGGAGGGGCAAAGGAGGATGCATAGGAAGTCACCAGAAACTTTCAGTTACACAGCTCATTTCTGCAGGGTGGCTTCTGGGGTGTCTGGATTTCCATTTGACTCGCTGTGTGCACACACACATACAGTCTGCTGCTTTTGTCTGTATGGTTTGAGGCAGGGCTGGTATTTGTGACAACCTTTTATTATTTTTTTCCTATGTACAGACTTGCAGACCTGTTCTCTTCCAGAACTGATGCACCCTTACACGTATCTCCAAAGCAAAGGTGGTGTATTTTTCTTTCTTGCTCTCGTGAGGTTAATATAGCCTGCAAAGAAGACATAAAAGCACCCAAACACTTGAGAATATCAGGACTGTGCTTCTTCATATAATTCCATAGTTTAAGTATATGCCCTTCATAAAATGTCAGAGCTGAAAGATGTCATTGTGGTTTAGACTCAAACCATACAGGTTGGTATGTTTTAAAACAAAAATGTTGACTCTTAGAAAAGGCAATAGAAGGTGTGTCCTTCCTAACCTAGGGAGGTGAAACACACTGGGGAACTAACTGGTTTTGTTGTAATCAAAGGGTTCTTATGGAATTATTTTTCTAAATATGGGTATACAGGAAAACAAAATGACCACTCATTGCAAGATGTACCCGTGTATTTTCTTGATGTGGCATTGTGAGCGTTCAGAACTCTGAAACTCAGTTCTGCTCTTAAGAGTTTTGTTTATACAAAGAATGACCTAGGTGCATTGTTTTGGAACTGTTACTTTGTGCATCAAGTCAAGCAGGGAGAGAATGTTAACTGTTCACAAGTGTTCCTGTACTCCAACTGAACCGCAACAGTCTCTTTCTGAATGCTCCAAGTGTTAATGGAGTCCTGTTACTGCTTGCTTTATTTTGTTGCATGTCATCACCAAATACTGAAGGTGTGGTCTTTGTTTCATAGTTCTTCATTGGGATTTGTATTTGACTACAGAGACTTCTGTAGTGTTGACAGGTCTATCTGAATAGCAGAAGAGGACTTGGCCTGATAGCACTGCAAGTTAACATTTCTTGCACAAGCTTCTTTTGAAACAAATCTCTTTGGAAAATCTAATAAGTTAAAAAAATAAGAAAACAAACCCCTTCTGAACACATCGTCCGTCCTAATTGTCAATGTGCTGATAGGTAAGAACATAGCTTGGCTTCATTCTAAATTATTTCATTTACTGAAATGTGCAATTTTTGAGGGTAGCAGTCGAGGGATGTTCAAAACTGCCATTAGATTTGCCTTTGTATGAAATTGGCTGATATGTTTTCCTCTGTTACACTGTGATAACTTGTGGAGGTGTTCTTGCATATGTTGTTACTTGTTGCATGTAAAGCAATTTTTGTAAGCAAGAGGAATTCCAGGGATGTTCTGCAAAAAAGGGCCTATTCTGAGGTGATGTACACTGTTGTAAAACTGGAGCAGCTCAACTAATTTCAATGGAATTCTTGATTTACACTAGTCTTTTTGCTATGTGTAGTTATGCCAGTACAATTTTGCACAATGTTATTTGAGTATTGCGTTCTGACTTGTGAACTGTTTCTACTGAAAACAGTGAAAATTTTACAAACTGCAATAGCGGAATGTTTTTGGCATTTATTTTTTTTTGCCTAAAATAAAAAGTTGTCACTTCGAGCTGTGGGCTAATCTTGGATTTATTTTTAGTAGCGAGCGGTTTTTGTGTTCTGACAGCCTGAAGATTTGCCTGAGCATTTACCCTGAGGGTAGTAGGCATTTCCTTCAAATAAAACAAGCATTTTTAACCCTTTTGGAGGAAATTCATCAGGGTGGAAATCTTTGTTTAACTCATACCCTTATTCCTCCAGAACAGCCCTGAAAGCTCCTTTCCGTCTTCATCTGCAGAAGGTTTGGTCAGTTCCTGAGCACTCTACAATTCCATTATTAAGGGAAGATGCCACAAGTCCTAGGCTTTGGGAACATAAGGATTCAGCAGGTGTTCTGGGAGTGAAGGTATGAGAACAGGACTGAGGAAAAAGCCCTGGATTCCTGCTGGTAGGTTCATACTGCTGTTCAGTAGAATGCAACTGCTGAAGCCTCCCTGGGATTATTGGAAGTCTCATGTTCTACGTGTTTCTGTGCACTCAAAACAAGCATCTTCATGAGCAGAATTTGGAGCCAGAACTCCTTTAAACTAGAAGTGGTGAACTAGATAAATTATGGTTTCTTGCTAGGTCTTATATTAAATTTAATTTGTCTTAAAGGCTTGGAGCAATTCCTCTTCTGGAAAATCATTGTCAGCTATATTTTATTCCAGAATGGAGTGGAAGATTTGCCTTGGAAAAGATTCCTCTAGAGGCATCCTGAAGAATTGATGAATTACTAGTGTGTACCCCTGAAAGCAAGGATGTCTTGTGCTTTTCCATCAGTGGAAAAGCTTGAGCCCATAAACATGACATCAGTATCAAGTTCCCAATAGTGTAATTTCACAGCCAGAGTCCATGGGTCAATTTATGCCTAACTCAGAAACCACTTGGTTGAAATGTAAAAGGGCAGTCCACAGCTGTTGAGTGGAGCAGAATACAAGGGTCTTTTCTGTACTTGATACTTTCTCACATTTTATTCTTTTTCACCTGTTCAGTTGACTGTGTATGTTTGCCTATCTCCCTCCAGGTGAACAGGACCTGTTTCTTTATTAAATAGACTTGTGACCACATTCTCCATTAAACTATTTCTTCACCACTGACTACAGATCTAGTGTTTATGGTTTTGTTTATGGATAGGTGGTTTTTCTGTAAATATATCTGGTGTTTAAAATATCTTCACACCTTGTATTATATACAGATAAACTGCGAGACACACTAGGAAGCCAATGAAGATAATTTATGAAGACAAAGAGAACTGAAAGAGTAACTCTGGGGTGAGCAATGACAGTTTTCTGATTCTTGATTCACTGTTTTCATGAACTGAGGAACATAACTGCTCATAAACAGTGGCTCATTTTGTTTCTTCAGATTGTGAGAGAGGTAACCGGGCAGGAGACTGGCTAGGAGGATTTCTCAGGTATCTCAGGTTTTTTTCTTATAGTTAGGTCTGACTGTGTAGCAAATTAATATAGAAGTTGTCAACCAAGGCTTCTTATCATATTCCCTTCTTGTCCTCTTGGCTCTCCAGCCTGCATTTGGAAATTGTATAAGATTTCTCCCAGACTTTGAGACTTTTCAGATGCTACTTTTTAAAATTATTTCTTCTGTATACTGCATTTACAGAAGCACTGTTCAGCTGCCAGACATGTATTGGTTAAGTGCTGTGAAGTGCAGACTTAAGTTAATATGATGGAGGAGAAAATTCAGGTGAAGTTCTCCCACACTTAAAATAGGCTGGATTCATCACCACTGCATGTACCCTTTTTTCAAGTCTTGCTCCTGCCAAACAAGACTTGTTTGCCTCCTCCTGCACTGTCTGTTTACAGAACTGTTTTGCATAACCCAGACCATGGCCCTGTGACTGATGCTTGTATTCGTGTAGGAACATGTCTGTGATGAATAGCAATTTCACATTGTGGTGACATTGCTTATAGTAAAGAAAAAATCAGTAGTAGATTAAAACCTAATTACTGCAAGTAAAGTAGAACACTGTTCATTAATTCCTGTACTTATAAGTATGAGTGTGTAACTGCTGTGATTAAGCTGTTGATTAAGAAACTGCACAGTTTGTTGTGAATGCTTTTTCCAACTACAGATGTGTAGCTGCCTATTGTAAACCCTGTTTCACTGTAAACTCCAATTTCACTGGTGATGGAAATGGCTGTTAGGGAGGTTTTTCTGTTTCCTGGCAGTGAGTGTCCTCTGCAAGTTTGTGAACAGTGAGCACTGCCAGAATTCATCTGGCTGTGTGTGTCAGGCAGGCAGGAGGTGAGAATCTGTTGTGTTTGCACTTCATCTTTCCAAATCTCTGAAGTTAATTATAAGTTAGGGCAGAACTTGACCTACAACATCTTGTACTGGCCAAATTAACAAAGAGGCTACATCCTTTGGCCTAGCCCAAATATTTTGTGTGGCTTTTGCAAGATTTTAATCATGTCTTTAAAATATTCTTCTGTTGACAGAATTCATAGAAGCACTGTTCAGCTGCAAGATGTATTCAAGTGCTGTGTAGAGTATATGAAGGGCTACAATAGAATTTGGTTTACATTTGCAGTTTTGCAAAATTACTTGTATTTGCTGCAGTTAACATCAGAAAACAGTTGATGTGAGCTGGGAAACCACAAACTAAGCTGAGCAGTCAGGTAATTATGAGTTACTTCTCTCCTGAGATGAAGTTTTTGTTTCCATTTTCTGTTTAAATAGAGAGGTTTGTTCTAGGGTAGTGTTTTTGGTTTTTTGTTTGTTTGGTTTTTTTTTAACATTCTCACCCTTTTGTGAATTGTAGATATTTAATCCCCCATTAAGAAGTTATTTAACAGCATGTTCCTGCAGTTTGTATGGAACAATTCCCTTTCCTCACACAGAAAATTGTCTTTTTTTAATAACACTTGATTCAAGTTGTAAGCCATGTATTTGGCCCATAAAGTTGACCTTCAGGTTTCTGGGATCTGTTTGCTAAGTTCCAACAAATTTCTTAAATTAAAACTGCGAGGGGCTTTCCTTGTGTAGCAGCTGCCATCCCAAATCACCAATATCCATCCACATGGTGAGCCAAATACATGCAAAGTGGCAGGGCACTTAGATCAGAAGTCACAATACGAGTTGATTTTGGTCTTAAGCTGCAATATCTGGACAGCATCAAATGCTGCTATTCAAAAAACATAGTTTCACAAATGTGTCTCCAGTTGCATTGCTTGTTAAAGCTCTATTGCCTACCTGTCTGTCCTTTTCTTTTGTACTACCCTCTGTCATGCCAGGAATCTCTTTTTAGAGCCACAACCCCTGTCAAAATAACTTCAGAAACCCATTGCTGTGCAGTCAGAAATGCAAGAACTGCTGAAGTCTGCATAAACGAAAAAAAAAATGTTCCAACTGTGTCCTGCAGTGTAATTCTTTATGGTCCAGGGCTTACTGGAACCCAGAGAGGGTTGATGCTGGTTTTGGTGCTGCAAGAAGTTATTTGCAAGTTAAGGCAGAGATTGATCAATCTCATCTCATAAGCAAATTCATGAAAGGGCTGCATCCTGGCCTAATCTGGACAGGTGTTTTGTGTGTTTCTTTGGCAATATCAAGATTTCAACTGTGAGAGTCCCAAGTGCCCTCATTTTTGGCATACCGGATCTGTATTTCTAACAGCAATAGAAACAGCACAGAACCTGTGCTCAGTCTCACCTTTATTGCCAAAAAAGGTCCTGTGAAATTGCAGATAGCCAGCAGAACAATTCTAAAGCTTTCAAAGTGCCCAGAGGATTTGTTTTATGTCCTATCCCAGGAGGTGTTCAAGGCCAGTTTGGGCAGCCTGGTCTGGTGAAAGGTGTCCTTGCCCATGGCAGGGGGTTGGAACCAGGTGATCTTTAAGGTCCCTTCCAACCCAAGCTATTCTATGAAAAATGAAAAGTCATGGCTTCTTCAGGACTGGGAAATTATATCATCCTCATATCCACTTTTATGTCCCAAATACAGTTTTGCTGTCTCAGAGGTGTGAGTCGTAAGTATGTGATTTCCTTGAAGATAAAACAATTAAAAAGAATCCTTTGTATGCCCTGGAGTATTTTCCTGGAACTAGTATTTGCCTGATAACCCCAGGGATTTTATTTTTAGAAGACCATGGGATAAAAAATAATTAGGTAGATCTAGTTTCCGCCCTCCCTTTTTTTTCCCTCTCTGATGCATCAGAAATCAAATCCTATCTGCATTGAACCATACCAGCTTAGTAGGCTTTCAAACAGCTCCAAAATGTCCCAAACCCAAGGTGTTAGAGGCTGATTTTCTCTTAAAACTCATAGTAGGATCCTTTAATGGTGTTCTCCTTATCCATTATGCCAGATGATGGTGTATATATTTTTAGCAGGAAGGTAAACTCTCTTTATAATGGTAAAATGAAATTAGTCTTTTTTTGAAGACCACTCTAAATACTTGCCCGCAGTATAACTATCAAACATCAAACAGTTCATCTGCTGAATATCCAGTGGCATCTCGATTTGAAGGGAGATCCAGATCTGCAGAAGAACTGACCCGTGGTGATACAGTTTTGATCATATTCTAAACAGCTAGGAAAAAATGGGTTTTGTTAAATCCAGTAAGGCCTTTTTAAATAATAAAATATTTAAATTGACCTCAGGATATTTCTGTAGGCAAACAAATAGTAACTGAAATATTTTCTTGTCTCAAAAAAACTAGAAATGCTGGCCTAACTTGAATGGATTGGTACATAAAATGAAGTGGGAGATTGGGTTGTTTGACAAGTTGAATGCAAATGAAAGTATGTTACAGATCCTCTAGAATTAGGGACTTCATGAAGTAGAAACTCTTGGTGTTTCGTACAAAAAAATATTTCATAATTCAGTATAGAACACAATCTGCTGAAACCTTTTCTCTATCCCTCACCACGAGTTCTGCTACGTGAGACTGAGTACAACCGGTGTCAAATACTGTGTGATAAGAGTGTTTGTGTTACTTTTTTCCCTTCTCTTACTGGCACGTTTTCTGGCAGTAGTGGAACTTAAGAGTATGCGAAGTACAGAAAAAATT